GGCAGAGAGGCCAAGAAGGCATCCACGTCCGCTCCGAGCCGAGCCTCCCAGTGATCACGTTTGCGTCCTTGCCGGTCGCCCCAGCCTAAGAAGCCGCTGGGTGCTCGCTCATCCTCGTTGTCATCCCTCTCACCCCGCCGCCTGGCCTGCCCTGGCACATTGAAGGGAGCTTGTTGTCCTGGTCTACTTGCACGGGATCTTTTTGGCTGTGGCCCGTCTAGAGGCCTGGGGGCCGTGGTCTTGCTAACCACCTTCACCCTAAAGTGGTGGCTCATGTCCTAGAAAGCATATTACGGTTGCTGGGATGCCAACAGAACAAACGGGAGGGAGAATGATGCATGATTGAGGATGATGTCCCCAATGACCCTCCAGGTGGGGGGCCATCATGCCCATCATGGGGCACATCCTTACCGGGAGGCCTACCTGTCCGGTGGGTGAAAAGTCAGTCTGCTGATATGAAAATATCTGCAGGCTGTTTGAATATCCGCGGGCGCGCTTTGATTGATTCGATCGTTCGAAAAAGTAAAATTTGTGGGTTGGGAATTGGGAATTGGGGTGGCAGGGGAGCTGTTCTGCTGTCACACCCTCAAGGCACCGCCGCCCAAAACTCCTCTTTGTGCGAGATTCTGATCGATGCACATTTCGCACATTTCACACGGCTCGTGGTGAAGAGAGAAGCACTGGCTAGGCGTTGCCGATGGCCGACTCGCCGCCGCGACAGTTCTGCAGCTCTGCGGCAGGTGCGGCGGCCGCCAAGAAGCGGTCGCCACCTGCCAGCTGAATCAGCTCTCCAGATGGCATGGAGTCAGAAGCGTTACTGCCGCCATGCGGAGTGTTGCAACTATCAGCATTTGCTTCAGTTGGTCACTACCCGTCAGGCCTTACAATCACGCATTCTCGTAGATCCCTTCTGTTGAGCGGCGACAAAAATCCCGCTCATTTGGGCACTGCCCAAATGCGGTGGCACCGCACCGCTCCCTTCCACAGAGGCACCCGCATCCGGTGGCTCAGTGCAAGGCCACACTCGCAATGCCCGCCACCGCCAGCACCAGTCCCAACGCTATCAGAAGCACGCCTCCAGCGCCCGCCCCACTCCACAGCCTCCAGTGCACCAGGCTCAGCGCCAAGCAGCCGGGCAGAACGCAGGCAATCACAGCCCCCGCTGTGGCGCCCAGCAGCTGCAGTGGCTTCCAGACTGATGGCAGCTGCATCAGGGGTGGGTGGGCAGGCGATAAGTAGCGGGGCTTCGCTGCTGCTGGTGGGGTTATTGGCCCTCTCCAGGATCTTGATGCTGAAGCTGCAGGAGCGTGGCGCGCTCCTCCCAAAAAGAGCAGCGGCGGCGGCGGCGGCGGCGGCGGCGGCAGCAGCGGCAGCAGCAGCAGCAGCAGCAGCAGCCCACCGAAACTGCCACGAGGTAGACCGCTGCGAGGATGCCATAGGTCAGCGCGTAAAACTGCCAGTCCCCAAACTCCTCGGCCTGCACGCCCAATGGAACGCCATTTGTCACACATTGAGCATGCAAGACCTCCTGCTGCCACAACAGCATACCCCCTGCAAGTGTCGGTACGATTGTCGGGGACGGCGCAGCCACGATGCACTGTCCCTCAATGGCTGCATCTGCAGCTGGGGGCATGAGCAGGTGCTTGGGTAATGTAGAGGGGCCTGGTTCGCAACGAATGCTGCTGCAAGCAGGAGTTCCGCGCTTCGGCAGCAACCTGCCTGGAGGGGAAAAGTGGCCAGCACTGAGAGCAGGAATGCGGCCCTGACAGCCAGCGCCAGTCCAGCCGCCAGCTGTGCATGGCTGCCTCCCAACAAGTCCCTGTCATAGGGGCCCCAGCTAAATGCAGTTGGAAGCTGAGCGTTGGATAGCCACTGGCTTGCGTGGATATCATGCTGCTTGATGGCGAGGTGTACCCCACCACACACCTTATGTTGGCCACGCTGAAACTGGAGAGCACGTTGTGGCCAATGCTGCCGCCAAACACGGCCTCGCTGCTTGCCGCCAGAACGAGTGTGACGGCCAGGCTGAGGACCAGGGCACCGCCTGCGTCGTTGATGGTGGCAGGGGAGCGGGGCAGCCATGATTGAGGTGAACTGAAAGAGAGGGGATGCAGGAAAGGGAATGGGCTGCATCAACCACACACCTGCCGTGTTCGTCATGCGGCGGGGCGAGGCAGGCGCCTCCAGCTCACGCAGAACAGAAAAGAAAGACATCTGGCACCTGCAGCAAGAAATCCAGAGGAGGCATTGTGGTGCGAGAGCAGTGCGCTTGGAGCTGCCTGGCATGCAGGCCGTCCTCGTGAACAGCCTGCTCAGCTGCCAGCAGTGCGCTCACATGAAGGCCATGATGAGCACCGGCAGCACCGCCGCCAGCTGCAGCATTGCGTGCTGCCAGGACTCGTGCAGCAGCTCCCACGCTGGCCATGGTCGCAACACACACGCTCGCCCACTCAGCGCCAGGATGGCAGCCAGGTACAGGGTGATGCTAGCCCACAGGGCCACCGCAGCAACTCCCAGAGCGCTGACCAGGGTTGTCTGCTTGAGCTGCCTGCAGTTGTAATGGATTAGCACCTTCTCACACGCCCAAACAGTCCTGCCAGCCAGGCGTTGATCAGCGGCCCACCTGAAGGAAAGCAGCGGTGCCAGGATGAGCAAGGTGAGCAGGCCCAGCAGCGTTGGGCGGCTCGAGAGCAGGGCGCGCAGCCAGGCGGGGACGCCGTTGCCCAGCCACTCGGCGTCTGGCACCACAGCATCCCCAGCAGCTATCACATAGACCACCATCATGCCTGGAGTGTGCAATGTGCAGGTAAACAAACCGTGGTTTTGATGTAGCACATGAGCACCGCATGAGCAAGCCGCCGAGCCAAGCTGGCATCATGCCAGTTCACCGCTATGCCAGCCAGCTACTGCGGCACACCCACCGAAGCAGTTGAGGACCATGAACACATCAAGCACCGCTGCCGCCCTGCGACCCAGCTGCGCCGCCAGCACGCCGCTGTAGGACAGCTGGGCCGTGGCGTGGGATGCCGCGGCCAGGCAGCGGCACGAGTACAGCATTAGAGCCGCAACTGCAAGGAAGGCGGCAGTGGCGGGCACTGCGCCAAGCTGCAGGAGCAGGGGCAGCGGGGTTGACATAGCAGGCTGGGTTCACTGCCACCGAATGCCCACATCCTCGTCCACAGCTCACCAGCAGGAAGGCGTGAGGCACGGCCACCAGCCCAGCGCCGAGGATCGACTTTGCCAGGCTCAGGGCGCAGCCTGCAGCACACGCCACACAGCAGGCTCGAGGACAGTTAGCCTGGCTGCTCTCAAGGGGCATGGCAAGCGCACCATTACGCATGTTCCAAACGCTGCTGGCCTGTAGTGCCCATGTGCCCCTCGCTGCTGGTGTCGAGGAATGGGAGCAGCTCCTCAAGCAGCTGCGGGTCTGTCTGGCTCGTTTCCCGTCCCATGCTGGCGGCGGGCGGCAGGGGCGACGCCACCAGCGGCGTGATGCCGGTGCCGTGGACTGCAGCGTTCATGGTGCGCCAGCAGTCACTGGGTAGCCAGCAAGCATAGGGAGGATTGGGCGAAGCGGAGCACGCGTGGCCGCGGCGGCGGCGGCGCTCACCTAGGGCCGTGCTTGTGAGGAGCGAAGGGCCTTGGACAGCAGGCGCTGGGCTGCCATGCGACTCGCGTATCCACAGCCTGGGCCTGTGGGGGCGGACAGGGCTGCTGGGGCCTTGGGCCTCGGTTTGAGCCTCCACCTCCGCCTCCAACGCCGCCTCCCTCTCTCTCCTGCTCGTCAGGATCTTGGATGTGAGCATGGGGAAGAGGAGAGGGGCGTGTGTGACGCCATGGTTCTCAACAGCTGGCGCCGGGCGTGCCAGCCTGGCACGTTGCGCCCGACGTGTGATTCTCACCCTCGCCGTCAGGGCATAGAATCACGGCGCAGCCCTTGATTGGCTGCTCACAGCGACCCCATGGCCCAGAACTTGCATCCATGGCACAGGGCGGCATGGTGCCGAGTGGCGGGGCAGCAGGCGCTCGGCGCTCGGCGCTTGCCGCCGCCTCGATGCCAGCCCCATGCACCTCACCCTTACATAAACCCACTCTCTATCCTTCGCCCATCGTACCCCATGTTGGAGCGCCTGTCAGAAGCGATCATGCTGGCCGCTCTGTCCTCCCCCAGCCTCATGGCTGCACAGGTGCACCCCCGGTACCTATCAGCGGCACCATCACGCCCTGGCACGGGGTGCAGCCACGCCCTCGGCTTGAAGCCTGAATAGGGCAGCTGGGGGTTGGGCGCTGAGGGCTTGCCGCCACGCTGCGCCTGCCGTGCGCCCGGCAGTTCGCGAGCCACCCAGGAAGGCTCCTTCTCGCTTGCCACAGCCTTCAGGCGCACTAGGTCAAACAAATACAAGAATTGTGATACGCTGTACAACAGATGGCTGGCTCGCTCGACAGTTGATAAATGTTGGAGCGTCTGAATATGCAAGGGAGGGTAGAAAGAGGGTAGAAAGAGGGTAGAAAGAGGGTAGAAAGAGTGAGCCGAGGACATCTCAGCACTACGGTGGCTGCAGCTAAACTGCTATGCGGCACAGGGCTCACAGCCAGCTGGTGGAAGCCCCTACCAAACTACTGCCCCAGCGGGCGGCCGCACTCCTGGCAGGCTAACGGGTCCAGGCGGCCCTGCACCCAGCACAGCCGCTCAGATACATCGCCTACTTTGGCTAACAGCTTGTCAAGCTTGGTGTCCAGCTTATGGATGTCCGATCTCACACTATCTATGTGCGATCGGACAAACCATACGGAGGTGCCACAAAAGCCCACGACCGTGAGCACGCCCGTGGTGATCTGGGCCAGGGAGAAGTGCACCGCGGAGCCGGGGCGCAGCATGGCCTGCAGCAGAGGAGGCCAAGGGATTGCTAGTATTGCCCTTGCAACGGATGCTGCGCGTCGAACCATGGGGATAAGGCACAGGAGGACAGACATGCACATACACTAGTGCATACCCTCTGCTGCTCACCGGCGCAGCCGTAGAGCCGCCGCCGTTGGCAGGTCCATCAGAGCCGTCGCCGCCGCCGCCGCCACCGCCACCGGCATTGCGCCCACCGCCGCCGCCCGCCGCGCCGCCGCCTGCCGAGGCCTGCGCCCGCGAATCCATTCGCGTGGCGCGCACGGGGGTCCTCATCGCGCGCCCTGCAGGCCCAAGTCGGTGTGGGATTGCTTTCGGTCGTCCGGGAGAGGCTCCGCAGGGAGCAACCAGCGGCTATGCTCGCCATCAAGCTCACCTTGAGGGGCCTTGGCGGCCATCAGGCGAGACGTCGAGCTCCCAGTGAAGGAAGCCACCCCCTGCAGCGCACACAGCGCCGTGGCCATTGCTAGCTGCTGTCCCCACGTGTTCAACAAGAGAGAAGAGCAGGAGGAGCGAGCGTGTGGGCGACTTTGGGATCAGCGCGCGACAGGTCGAAGGCAGAGAGAAAGGGAAGCCCACTGTAAGCCCCCGCTGTCAATTTGACAGGGTGGTGAGTTCTAGAAGAAGAAGGTTGAAGCCCCGCCCTTTCCCTGTTCAATGTGGAATGCAACGCCCTGCTGGCGGCTCCCTTGCAATCCCACCTGCCGCCGCCGAACTATCCTCCTATGTTGCTCTCGTCCAGTAGTAGCAGCGCAGAAGCAGTGCAGTTAGCAGGGACGTGAAGTGGCGATCACCACCACTGGGGTCTGAGGGGCGCGCTGCCTCGGCGACGTTGCCAGGCCGACGCCGGACGGCATTGGCCGTCACGCACAGTGGCAACTAAAGGATGATGGGAGAGGTGTGGGAGCCTGGTGGCCTCATTGGCAGTTCTGGTTCGCAGGAATAGGCGGTTAATGTTGCCGGCGCGGGGTGTGCCAAACACACCTGATGAAGACGGGGTGGAACATTACCCTGCTGCATCAAAAATCTGCTGAGGACTTTTAAGTGCAGAATCAGAAGCAGGGTGCAAGAGAGTGGAGGTTGGGGGAGGATTATGTGAAGGCGGGGTGGAATACGAAGCGTGCGGGGCCTGAGCTGCAAGCACCGCAGAGGCAAGGGTGGCGCAACAGGACCTGAGCTGGAGCCTCCAGCCCCGCCGCCAGCGCCGCCTCCCTCTCTCTCCTGCTCGTCAGGATCTTGGATGTGAGCATGGGGAAGAGGAGAGGGGCGTGTGTGACGCCATGGGTTCTCAACCGCTGGCGGCGGCAAGCCAGCCTGGCACGTCTGCGCCCGACGTGTGATTCTCACCACCACTCGCCGTCAGGAACACAGAATCACGGCGCAGCCCTTGATTGGCTGCTCACAGCGACCCCATGGCCCAGAACTTGCATCCATGGCACAGGGCGGCATGGATCTGAGATCTGAGTGGCGGCGGCAGCTGGCGCTCAGCTCTCGGCGCTGCCGCCGCCTCGACGCCAGCGCGCCAACCCTACATACCTCTGGTTGCTGCCATGCTTGATCAAGTGTTTCAATTGGATATTTATTACGCGATTTGACATCCTGGGACGCCTCCACCACGCCATCTGGTGCCACCTCCTGCGACAGCTGGCGAGGTCGCGGCCCGCAGGTGCACATGAAGGTTAGCCCCGCTACACGCTCAAAGCGCATTAAGCGTCCTCGCTGTTACATCAAACCGCTCTCCATCCGTCGCCCTTCGTACCCCGTGTCGGAGCTGCTGTCGGAAGCGATCATGCTGGCCGCTCTGTCCTCCCTCAGCCTCCTGGCTGCACAGGTGCACCCCCGGTACCTATCAGCGGCACCATCACGCCCTCGCACGGGGTGTTTAGTAGTGGCTGGCAGAACCCCTTGGTGGCCAGGGCTGGGCCACCGTTTCGGGCACTAACCATTACGGCGCCTCACTCTGACGTCGCTGGTTCCTTCAAATGCAGGCGCAGCCGCTGATGCGAGCTGTCCTGGCCGCGGCAGCAGTGCACGCCGCATGCCATGCTCCCGCCGCCGCATCTGCCGCTCAGTGCTTTCACCAGGTGGGTCCAGCGGCCTGCAACACTCCCAGCTGTGCGCACCTGGCATGCTGGTCATGATAACTCACCATCAAGCCTGGGCACTCCCGTGTGCGACCGGCCAATGCACTGCTTCAATTATCCTGCCGGCCCTCCCCCCCCGCCTGCGTGCCAACAGACTCAGCAGGCACGCTCCTGCATGACGCACCACAAGCTATGGACGGCAGTGGACATGGCGGGCGCAGACCCCGCCGTGCGCGCTCCCTGCTCCGCCGTCACGATGGCCCGCTCCCAGCTCCCGGTGGTGAGCCCGAGCACGGCCGTGGTTCCTCGTTCGGACCACCTGCATCATCGCTGCCGCCGTTCATGCATTTCTGCCTGCCTCGGCTGGTCTCTAGCTCAGCCCTGCTCACCCTCCCTCCCCATGGTGCAGGTTCGCAGCGAGGACAGCAAGGCCAGCTGCGGCGAGCTGCCGCACAGCCCCTACCGCAGCATCTTTGGCGGGCTGTGGCAGCATGGCGAGCCACACAACATTGTGTTTAGCGACGAGCACGGGTCGGTCACGAATGAGGTGGGCAAGGGCCTGGGCTGCAGGTAGAGCGGGGGGTGCTGCTACTGCGACCCACTCTCTTGCGCAGCTGGCATGAGGTTGTCGCCACAGCAGGCTCATCCAGGGCCAAGTGCCGCTGGCGTGGTGCAGGTAGAGAAGCTGCTGCTGGTGGCGGACGAGCTTGGAGGGTCTGAGGGAGTGTTCAAAGTGGTGGAGAGCTTTGGGGAGGGCCCGGAGTGGAGCGCCATGAATGTGTCCACCGCCCTCCGCTGCCTGGCCCGCGGGGCAGCCCACATGAGCAGCGCCGCCATCCAGCGAGAGGTGCAGCGCCTGATGCCCGCACATAATGGCACCGAGCTGGCTGCCTGCCTGCCTCATGCCTGCCAGCCGGCATGCATGCATCCCCGCTGGCCATGCCTCGTGTGCCCCTCGGGCATCTCATGCGCTCCCTCCGCGGTGCCGCCCTGCCCCGCCGCTGTTGCAGATCCTGCACCACCCTATCTTTGAGCGGCTGGTGGATGGAGCCAACCGCAAGGCCATCAGTATGACTGACACCGAGCTGGGAGGTGAGGGGAAGGGCCTCTGCTGCTACCCAACACAGGCCTGAGCCTATCATAGCAGGGTGACTGTAACACAGGTGCATAACACAGGTGAGCCTGCTGCCGGTTCAGCTGCCGGTGTGGTGCACACCAGACAGGCAGGTGGCTGACCTCAGCTTTCCGATCTGCTGTGCTCGCTGCAGAGGTGGCGCGAGCCTGTGCAGCCCTCCGGTGCAGCGGCAGCGCCCTCGCTCAGCGAGTGTGCTAGCGGGCTCTGCCCGCCAGGCCCACCCACGCAATGGGGCCACCCACAGCGGCCCATCCGCCACCGCCTTCGAGCCGCCCCTTCCCGCTTGCCCTGGGGAACGCCAATGCCCTATTCTTCCCCATTGTTGCCCGCACTTTGGAACTGCAAGCACTTGAACCGCCTACCTGAACCTCCCTTGGGGAGCACCCACCCCTCCGTCTTCCCTGGGGAGCAGAGTGACCTCAACATGTAATTTATGTGTTTGTGCGTGCACCATCCAACTGGCCCCTTTGGCTTGATCCATGCCTCCACTATTTTCATTTCATTTTCGCGAGGCACATTTTCATTGCTTGGCTATATATCTTGCCCACTGCCCATGGTTGTAACTGCCCATGTTGCCCTGCAACTCCATTTCATTTATTGTGTCTCTGCTATCAATTCGACAGGGTTAAATGTGAGCCAGTGGCTTAAGCCACTGTTTGATCCACCTGATGATTTGTTTGATCCAGGTGGTATCATCATGAATAAAAATGTAAACGACTGAACGATCAGATGTTGGGTGTTGCAGACCACTTGTTCCTCTTGCAGAATAGCATAATTCAACTTGTAAACAGTGTGAAATCCAAGAAATAAAAGCAGTTAGAGAGGAAGGGCGTGAGACACAATGAATAGTGGCAGCTCTAGCGGAGCGGCCAATTTACTACACATGCGGCACCATGGCGAGGGCGGGTGAGACGGTGAGGATGGTGAGCACGGTAGCAAATAGCCAGCACATGATGGCTAGGGCACACCAGGCCTGCACCTTGTGGACACCCAGCCCGCCAGCGATCCACAACTTGTCCAGTGCCCACATGGCCACCGGGTCTAAGGCCTCCACCAGCTTGCCGCCTTGTGCGCTGCGTGGGCTGCTGCTGCTCAGGCTCCCGCTGCCAGACGCACCAGCCGGCACGCCGCTGCCGCTGCTACTTGTGATCTGCCGTCGCTGCCGCGCCGCTGCTGCTTGGCAGTAAGTCTGCAGCACCACATACGTCGGCACCAGCCATCCCAGCAGCAGGTTCAAGAAAGTCAGCGCCGCGACGCACTGCTGGTGGCGGCCGCCAGGGGGATACCCCGGAGGCAGGATGCCCAGCGTGGCAGCTGACATGATGGCGTGGAAAGCCGAGAAGCGCCCCTCCATCAGCTGGTTGTCCAGCATCTTGCAAGGTGTCGTGGGGAAGGAGGCATGGAGGCGTCATGCACCTGGGATGGAGGCAGCACAACATCGGCCACGCAAGCTCACTAGTCCCGGCACACCGGGTGGCATGCACCGGGCTGCTGCGCACCGGCTGCATGCAGGCACGCGGGAGGTGCGTGATGGAGATTATCTGGCACACGTTGTGCACCGCCAGGTGGAGGGGCAGGTCGAGGGGCATGCTCGACCCGACGAAGAAGAGGCGGAAAGTGCCACTCCCTACACGCAGGCAACAGGGCGCGGGCGCTGGCCCCATCAGCGGGCCGCCAAGCGCTGGCGTCTGGCTGGGAAGTGAAGAGGGGCGGCTGCTGGCTGAACAAGCTTCCAAGGAGCAGCGCCAGGCAGGGAGTGGGGTGGCTGGCAACCACCTGCACGAGCCCCGCACTCACTCACCCAACAAGATGGCCACCAAGTTTCCGGCTGCACCGATGCCGGCTGCGGGCGTTTCCCGAAGCTGTAAATGCGCCAAGGCCTCCTCTGGTGCGATGGCAACCATCACCAGACGATGGGCGGCCACTATCCAGCCGCACCAGTGGTGGCAGCCGCGGCGCGCGGCCCACCCGTGCGCTGCCGGCAGAGCGGCGCTGGCGGCCAGCATGGTGCCGAGCCTCAGCTGGACGGCCGAGGTGCGGGGGGCGTCTGGCACCGTGGTCCACCTGAACCATGCGGCCAGGGTGATGGCGCAAGTGCAGAGACCAAAGTGTGCAACTTTCATGGCTCAGGCACAGCCAGGCGCGTAGGCGTACGGCCACCCAGAGTGCATGGCTCAAGGGAGAAATAGGAAAGGGCGGGGGACGGAATTAATTGTTTCCCCTGTGACTACGTCTGAAGGCATGTCCCGCCGACCCGGTGGCGGCGGCGGCCGTACCCTTGGGATCAGACACACCTCAATGGCTGACCCTCGCCGTGATTCGCAGAGTCTGATTACAGGAGGGTATGGCACCTAGGCAGCGGCTGCGTGTCACCAGTCCAGGGCCTCAAGGATGCGGGGCACCACGCCGGCCACCGCCACACCGATGGCGGAGTAGGCAAAGAAGCGGCTGGTGACATCCACATCCCAGGGCAGGCCCTGGGCATTGTGTGGCAGCTCCGCCAGGCGCGGGTCCACCGGCGACGCTGCTGCCTCCTCCGCAGCGGCCCCAGCCGCCGCCAGCCCCTCCGCAGCAGGGGCTGCGCCGCCACGCAGGGATCTGCGCCGCTGCCGCGCCGCCGCCGCCGCCGCCAGCTTGCCGTCCTGCTGCTGCAAAAAGCCATCCTGCTCCTCCTCCTGCTGGCTGTTCTTGCCCTTCCTGTGCTGCTGCTGCTGCTGCTGCTGCTGGGGCGGGGCCTTGGCCAGGTTGTGCACGGGAGGCTGCCACAGGCGGCGCACCGGGAGCGGGAAGAAGCGGTAGAGCAGCGGCAGCGCCGCCAGCAGGACCGCCCGCGACCCCTCCTTGAACGCGCCCACCACCACAAAGCCCACGCCCAGCCGCCGCGCCGCCCACAGCAGCCGGCTGCCCGCCAGCAGCCGGTCGCGGCCCGACCACAGCTCTGCCAGCTGCAGCGGGTGGAGGCGGGGGTTGCGGTGGGAGTGTTGGGTGCAGCGAGCAGGCGCGGGCGCAGCAGCGCTCGCGTGCTGCCCCCGAGGCTGGGAACGGAGGTGCAGAATGGGCGCAGCAGGGCCGGCTAGGGGAGAGCCTCGTGCGGCCCCGCCTCGCCTGGATGCCCGGCTGGTGGGCGTGCGGCGAGATGGCGGCCACCCCTGCCACCACGCCAAACATGGAGCCCATGAAAGATGTGGTGAACTCGTAGGAAGGCGTGTGGGCCAGCGGGCGCGGGTGCAGGCGCAGCAGCACCAGGGAGGCGGCAGCGGCGTGCACCACCGCTTGCGGACCCGCCAGCACCCAGCGGCTCAGGTGGCCTGCATGCGCGGGGCGGGGCCACCAGCAAGGCCAGCCAGCAAGCAGTCGGGCGCCATGCGGGGCCGTGCCACACGGGGCCGCCGCGGGAGCCGGCGGCGGCACGACAGCCCAGTGCGCCATGCGGGCGTGCCACGACAGCCGGGCACACCTTCGATGGCGATGAAGCAGACCAGGACCGCCAGCCCCGCCACCGCGCCTGCCAGGATGTCGATGGGAGTGTGCAGGCCCAGGTAGAGGCGGGAGGCTGCAATCCACATCACCTGCAACCACAGAAGGCCCCACGCGGTCGGCCAGCCAGGCGGGCATGAGCGTGCGCAGGGCATGAGCGGCGCTTGAACACAGGCCGGGGATGATGGGCGCCATGTGCAGCACAGCCAGCGCAGGCTCACCCAGAGGGCGACCAGGCAGTACAGTATTGCTGCGGTACCAGCAGCGATGAGCTGGCGGTCGTACAGGTACCACACAATCATGTAGTTGAGGCACAGAGTGTTGAGCGTGTGGCTGCTGGGCAGGCCATACTCCTGCGGGCAGGGGGGGCAGGCAGCGGCAGGCGGCGGCAGCGCTGAAATGGAGCCGCAAAAACCAGAAGAAGAGGCGCTGAAAGCCAGCAAGAGGGCCTCCATTTCTCCAAGGTGTCCCCCCCCTCTTCCAGCTAGCCGGCAAGCCAACCAGCCCCACACCACCCGCACCGCACCTTGGCATTCAGCTCCACCTCCTCATCTGAGGCCCCCAGGAACTTCAGCCGCTGCTTGCCGTAGCTGACGCTGAGGGGGCGCGGCGAGCACACCTGCAAGCAGCGGCATGGTGTGCAGGCAGCCTGTGATGCTGGCGGTGCTGCCGTGCTTCCCATGTCCACCCATCATCCCCTGCCTCACATTCACCACACTGCAGCACCAGTGCAAGTGCAGCAAGTAAAAAAACACAGCAGCAAGCACACACCAGATCCTTGATGGCATTGCCCACATACAGCGCCAGCGCCATCTGCAGAGGCCGGGGGAGCCCAGAGGCAAACGATACAGTCAGGATGCGAGGTACAAAGGGAGGCAAGCGGGGATGCAGGTGGTGCAGCAAGGCCGGCCAATGGCAGTCAGCGCACCAGGCACACAAGGTCTCGCCCCAGCTCGGGCAGCCCCAGCCAGAACAGCATGGGCAGGAAGGAGGCCTGCAGGCACCGATGCAGCTGCTTGTCAGCAGGAAGGGCAACAGCCGGCGCCAGGTGCAGCGGCGCAGGCGGGGCTGGCAGCGTGCAGCCCGCTGGCTGACTGTGGTTGGCTGGCTGTCCCTGGCTCCAGGTTTCCAGCGGGGCCTCACGTAGAAGGTGACGGACACGCTGTGGCTGGACTTGGTGAAGAGCTGCGTGAGCCAGGGCGACTGCCAGCGCTGCGCCGCCAGGACGAGGTCGAGACCTGCAGGGATGGGGTTGATGTGTTGATTTGAGGGGGGGCCGTCGAGCAGGAAGATGCATAGGTCAAATGCAAAAAAACGGCGCAGGAACAGGTGAGGTGAGGCCAGGGGGCCCGGGAGTGTCTGCACGTCGGCCGTGCCGCCGCCCGCCGCACCCGACTCGACGTGGTGGATTGCGTGCGGGCGCAGCCAGGCTCGCACGGGCGTGTGCAGGCGTGGGATCATCACGAGCGTCAAGAAACCAGCAACCAAGACAAGGCAGAGGGCCGTGAAAGCCCCTGTGGCCGCCTGGCCCAGTGTCTGCGCCAGCTCGTCCATGGCGGCAGGTGAGGGATCTGACCTCCCTGTGGCCGCAGGCAATGGCAGGGCGGGTTAGCCGACAGCAATTCAAGCGTTTGGCACGCTGGCGGCTTTCCTCAGCCCTCGACCCAGATGAATGCGGCCTGTGCGGGCTGCAAGTTGCAGGTGCGGCAGTGCTGCATTCATCGGGGGGGCCCCCCTGCTAGATTGAGCGCCCACTCCCAGGCCAGCCTTCCTTCGCCCACCATCGCACAGGATGCCGGTCTTGGGCGTGAACAGGGACAAGCTGTTTGAGGCTCTGGGCCAGAAATTCAGTAAGCGGATGGGGCATGGCAGTGCATGGCTCACTTGCAAGTGGGCGCTCGCCCAGGCGCGCCTAACGCCGCGCGGCACGCTGCTATGCAGCCGAGGAGGAGTTCGAGGAGCTGTGCTTCGAGTATGGCATCGAGCTGGACGATGTGGTGGGTGGCGGCAGCTGCGACGCCCTGTGCCACCGCTGCCGCCAGCTTTTGGCTGCCTCATCCTCCTGCTCATCCATGCCCTGCTCGCTAATGGCTGCATCTAGCTGCTCCTGGGCACACTGTCAGAGCCTCGCCGTATCACGGCCGCAGCTGCCAAACCTTCTCCCCACTCCCACACAACCACCGCCGCCCAAAAGCTGCACATCCTCAACCACCACTCGCCACTGTTGCTGCTGTGCTGCAGACCAGCGAGAAGGAGATGCTGCGCAAGGAGCTGCAGGGCAGTGCCAACGCGGACGTGAGCGGGGCCAGCGAGGAAGTGATCTACAAGATCGACATCCCCGCCAACCGATACGACATGCTGTGCCTGGAGGGCATCGCCCGCGCCCTCAACATCTTCCGCCAGCGCCAGGCGCCGCCGCTGTTCCGCCTGGCAGACATGGCGGGTGCGTGGCGGGCCGCGGGCATGCCGCAGTTGGCGGGTGGCGCAGCGCGGGCTGGCGGCTGGACGGCGGGAGTGTTGTGGACCAGGCATCGGCTGCTCGGCACAGGCCACCACCACATCATGCTGCTGGTCGCACCTCACTCGTGCCCCCTGCCCCCCGCTCCCATGCTGCGTGCTGCAGGCAAGCAGCTGCAGCGCATGGTGATCAAGCCAGAGACGGCGCTGGTGCGGCCGTTTGTGGTGTGCGCCGTGCTGCGCGGCGTGCGCTTCGATCCAGTGCGCTACAACTCATTCATAGACCTGCAGGCGAGTGCCGGGGAAGCGCGGCTTTTAGCAGTGCATTGGCTTTGGGGGCGGCCGGAGGGGCTTTGGAAGGCGGCATATGTGCTCCTGCAGTTGCAGGAAGGGGCACGGTATCTGCCAGCAGCAGGATGGTCTGGGCCTGCCGCAGCAGTTCCTCTCACCAGCTGCACACGCTCCTTTCTTCCCCCGCCTCCCCTGCAGGACAAGCTGCACCAGAATGTGTGCCGGCAGCGCACGCTGGTGGCCATTGGCACGCACGACCTGGCCAAGGTGCAGGGACCTTTCACCTACGAGGCGCTGCCGCCGCAGGACATCCGCTTTGTGCCGCTGAAGCAGACGCAGGAGTTTGATGCGGCGGGGCTGATGCAGGTGGGGCGCGTGTGTGTGTTGAGTGGTGGGTGGCGGCGGGGGCATAGTTGCTGCATGCAAGGTCAGCCGCGCCCCAGCCGCCAGCCAGCCAACCAGCCTCGGACGCACGATGCCAGCAGCCAGCGCCCCGAGCCAATGGCTGCCATTCCCCAGCAAGTCCACCGTCCCCGCCCCCACCCCCTGCAGCACTACCTGGCCAATGACCAGAAGCTGAAGAAGTTTGTGCCCATCATCCACGGCTCGCTCGTCTACCCCGTCATCTACGACGCGCAGCGCAGGGTGCTGAGGTGAGGCTGGGCTCTGCGCCTCGCCTCCCCGGGCATCGATCCTGCCGCCTCGCCGACGTGCCCGTGCCCGTGCCCAAGCCCGCCGCCGGCTGGCGCCTGCCTGCCTCCCTCCCTGCAGCCTGCCCCCCATCATCAACGGCGCCCACTCCGCCATCTCACTCGATACGCGGGACGTCTTCATCGAGTGCACCGCCACAGACCTCAACAAGGCCAAGATGGTGCTCAACACAGGTGGGAGCGGAGGGGCTGGAGCTGGGTGGACAGGGTAGGCCTGTCGAGGAGTCCAGGCCCGCCCAGCCTCCATGCCAGCCTCGAGGCACCGCACCGCAGCAATTAAGCCGGTGTGCCGGCCCCTCCATGGCCGGGACATGACTACACGCTGCGAACAGCAACCCGTGCCACTGTCTGGCTGGGGGCGCTCCCTTCATTGAGCTCCCGGTCCTGTATTGTGGCGCATACCAGTGCTCCTCAGTCACGCACCAGCATTGGAGCCGGCATGGCGGCTGCAACACTGGCTGTGCACATGAACCCCTGTCCTGCTGCGTGGCTCCTAATCTGCACGTCCGCTGCTTGCTGATGGGCGCAGTGGTGGCCATGTTCTCCCAGTACTGCGAGCGGCCGTTCGAGGTGGAGCCAGTGGAGGTTGTTGACGCCCTTGGGAACACACACGGTGGGTGCCCTGCTGTGCCGTTGCTTGCCGTTGTACTGGCTGGGATGCCAGCCTCGCCCTGCGCTATGCACCGCAGCAATTAAGCCGGTGTGCCGGCCCCTCCATGGCCGGGACATGACTATATGCTGCGAACAGCAAACCTGCGTCGCTTGTCTGGCTGGCGGCGCTCCCTGCTGAGCCTCCGGTCCTGTATTGTGGCCCACAGTCCCTGCTGCCCGCTGCTCATGCTGCTGCCCCCATGGGGCCCCCTTCAATGCACACATCGACCCTGTCGCAAGTCCTGCTTGCCTGACGCCTGCCTGCGCGGGGCCCGTGGTGGTTTGTGGCGGTGCAGTGTACCCGCAGCTTGACACGCGGCAGATGGAGGTGGCGGTGCCATACATCAACGGCTGCATCGGCACAGACCTGGCGGCAGACAAGGTGGGCTCCCAGCGCGGCCTGGTGGTTGACGTGCGCTGGGTGCAGAGGTGTCGAGGGCTGAACGTGCAGACCAGCTTTGCTGCTGTGTGGGGGACCCGGGCGTGCCGCCTCCGTCTCATGCATCCTGCCTGCCTGCCGCCGCGCCTGCCCATCGCCTGTCGCCGCAGATTGCGCAGCTCCTGAGCAAGATGCAGCTGACGGCGACGCCCGCGGCAGACGGCAGCAGGGTGTCGGTGCAGGTCCCCATCACGCGCAGCGACGTGCTGCACGGTGAGCAGCTGCCCAGCCTCACACGCCGGCAGTTGCCCAGCCGTCTGGCCACCAGCCTGTCGTCTCGGCAGGCCACGCGTGACGTCTCCGCACGGCGTGGCTGCCCCTCTCCTCGCCACCAGCGTTGCGCTCTTCTTCGCCCCGCCTTGCTGCTCCCGCATGTGCTCACGCATGCAGCGCTCACCCGCCGCCTGCTACCGCCCCGTCCTCCGCTGGCCGCAGCCTGCGATGTGATGGAGGATGTAGCCATCGCCTACGGCTACAACAACCTGGTGAAGAGGGTGCCCAAGACGGTGACGGCGGGCAAGGAGCTGCCGCTCAACCAGGTGTGTGTGTATGCCTGTGTGGTTGCAGGCCCGCCTCATGGAGTGAGTGGCGGCGGAAGCCAGCGGCGGGAAGCCCAGCTGTTTTGGTGCCCATGTATCCTTCACCCGCTCCTGCAGATGTGTGAGCTGCTGCGGGGGGAGTGTGCCATGGCTGGCTTCACCGAGATTCTCACCTGGGCGCTCTGCTCACATGCCGAGAACTTTGGCCAGCTGCTGCGGGTGAGGGCTGCGACCAGGTTTCAAGGCAAAAGGCGGCCGAGCGGGGCAGGGGATTGGGCTGCCAGATCCCACTGCCGCTGCCCTGCTTGTTTGGCTTCTTGCCCTCCTTTGGGCAGGCCTGTGTGCCGCTCGGACCCGGGCTGCTCAGCAAAAGGGCTGCTCCGTTACAGGGTGTGCCGTGCCGCTCCCGCTGCCGTGCAGCACGACGACGGCGACACGGCGGTGTGCATCGGCAACCCGGCCACTGCGGAGTTCGAGGTCTGCCGCACCAGCCTGCTGCCCGGAGCGCTCAAGACGCTAGGTGGGCGGGGCGGGATATCGGCCAGGATGGGTATCGCAGATGGCAGCACAGAAGCCCGGACATGGCGCGCCTGCACACCGGCACTGCTGCTCGCCCTCCCCGCCCTCGCCACCTCCTTGCTGGCCACCCCGCCCACCCAATGCTGCTGTGACTCTTGTGTTCGCGCAGGCTCCAACCGCGACGCCCCGCTGCCTGTGAAGCTGTTTGAGGTGTCTGACGTCATACTGCTGACGGGCAGCAAGGGGTGCGGCGCGGCCAACTGCCGGCGCCTGGTGGCGGTGCTGTGCGACCGCGCCGCCGGCTTTGAGGTCATCCACGGCCTCCTCAACCGCGTGATGGAGGTGCTGGGGGTGCCGCACTCGGGTGAGTACTGGGCGAGACGGCGTGCGTGGCTGGGTGGGTATGTGGGCTGGGGCGTGGGGCGGCGGCAGCGCGGGCGGAATGGGTGAGCGGTATGTGTGTGTGAGTGTCTGCGGTGTGAGGCGCAGGGAAGTGGATGGCGCTGGGCTGAGCTGCTGCCTTCCCACCTGCACGCATCAAGCCTGCCTGCCGTCCCTCGACCGCCCGCCTGGCCACCCTCCTGATCACCTGCTCGTGCCCCCACTGTCCCCCTGCGCAGGCGACGCTGACCCGGCGGCGGAAAAGCAGCGGCAGCGGCTGGGCGGCGGGTACGACTGGCGGGCGGCCGACGACGCGCCCACGTTCTTCCCGGGGCGCCATGCGGGCGTGTACTTCCGCGGCACTCGTGTGGGCGAGTTCGGCATCATCCACCCCGACGTGCTGGTGGCATTCGACATCATCAACCCAGGTGGGAGCCGGCACCGGCGGCAGCAGTAGAAGTTCGCGTAACGGGGGCAGGCTGGGGGCGGATGGCAAGCGGGGGTGATACCGGAGTGGTTGTGGGGTGGGGCGCTGCATCCCTTCCGGCCCACCACTTCTGCTGCACCCTTTCCCATTCCGCTCATTTGCTGCCCGATTCTATCATCCTGCCTGCAGTTGCGGCGATGGAGCTTGACCTGGAGCCCTTCTGCTTCGACCAGCTTGGCCGCCAGCTAGAGACACAGATACTGTGACCCTGCCCTTTTGGCGGCAGCAGCAGCAGCAGCGACAGCGAGTGCGTACTGCAGCCCTTGACCATGTCCATTTCATTCTCTTGCTATTCACTCTGTGAGGAGCAAACGTTACACGCTACGCAACATCAGTTGGGGTTGGGAAGGGGGGATATATGACATAGACGTGGGGACATAAGGGGGCAGGGACATTTGGGGCAGCAGACAGACACATAAGCAAGAGCAGGAGACGGAAGGCTTAGGGATAAGCTGGACAAGGTGACAGGGAGAGGAGAGCTATGGCACGAACGCTACGAGCGGGCGCCGCACTAGCGAGGCAGGAATCCATTGTGGCCATTGTTGGGGGAGCAGGTTGTGAGAAACTAGAGACGTAGCCAGCAACAAAGAGCACAAGAAGAAGGAAGTTGAGAAGACAGCCAGCAATAGAGAAGCAGTACTTGAGGATTCAAGGGAGGGAATACAGCGTTCAGGTCCTGGAGGGTTTGTCTTCAAAGAGGAATTGGGGTGTAGGGGAGCAGGTTTCGCCGTGGAGAGCCGATAGGGCGGGCGATCTGTTCCGTGGCACGCTGGACGCGATGTGCGTGGGCTCTAGAAAAGCGGGGCAGCTAGGGCTGCGCTAGGGAGGATGGGGATGAAATAGAGCGAAGGCTGGAGCGGGGTGGAGGGGCAAGCGCCCCGAGGCAGAGAAGAGGAAGAGGAGCAGGGGAAGGGATTCGATGTATCGCATGCATTGAGAGATGATGAATTGAGGCAGCGGCGCTTTGCGACGTGCCCGCCATGAATGGGCGTACAAAGGTGGTGGTACCCAAGAGGAATAATAGGGGTAGCAGCATTCGACAAACAGCATTCAACAGAGCCTACAGCTAATGTTGATCGGAGCTACTGTTGGTTGGAGCACGCGGCCTGCTGCAGCCGTGTCACTCGGCAGCCTGCTTGCGACGGGCGCGGGCTGTCAGATGGAATGTGGCCGCCAGCCAGCCCCAGAGCAGCACGGTGAAGGCGGCAAAGAGGGGCCCGCTCAGGAAGCGCTGTCCGGTTGCCGGCGAGCTCCCGAGGAACATGCTGCAACCACGGGACGAAGCAAGTGCGGGCATACGGCCATTGGACGAGCGGTGCCGCCTGCGCCCCCTGCCCTGCCTCCACACCCTCCCGCACCCCCCAATCTGTGCCGCACGGCAGGCCTGCCTGCGCTGCCTCCCCCCCATCTGCGCCGCCGCACCTGAGCATCTGCGCCCAGCCGAAGCAGGAGGCGCCCCAGAGGGAGCCGGTGAGCCAGATCCAGTCCCGCGTCCACAGCGCGCGCGGCACCATGAGGCCGTTGCCCGCAGCAGCCAGCAGGATGGTAGCCAGCGACAGGCCGGGCAGGCTGGCAGGGTCCTGCAAGGCAGGGGAGGCAGGCAGGGGGCGCAGCGGAGCGGGTGAGGTGAGGTGGCAGGGGCATGTCGGCCGGTCCAGTCACTGCAGCGCGACACAGGGCACCGACGTGTTGCAAGCGGGCTCCCGGGCAGCCTCCGATGCTGCTTCCAACCAGGCGCACTGATGCGGCAACCAGGCGCCCCCCACGCACCCGCCCCTCCCACCCGCAAGCCTACCTGGAAGTTTCGAACCAGCTGAGAGATGGGCTGCAGCATGAACAGCGCGGTGGCTGTCCAGGCGCTCGCGGCAGCCCAGAGGCCGCGCAGCGGGGCGGGCAGCCAGCCCAGCGACTCGAGGGCGACCACCGCGCAGCCGGCCGCCAGCGTGAGCTGCCAGGGCAGCATGCTGGTGGAGTGCGGCTGGAAGGTGGCCCACAGGACCTGCGGCACGCCCGCCAGCCCCGCCAGGCCCAGCACCTTCTGCCACGTGCCCCACAGCTGCTGCCCCGCCTTGCTGCCCTCCAGCCGGCCGGACAGCTTCAGGCCGGTGAGGATCGCCTGCAGAAAGCACGGTGCCGAAACAAAGGGGGTGAGTCAGCTGGCGGCCAGCACAGCACGGCTATCTCGCCACACGAAAGCGCCACACTCAGCCCGCACGCAGTGCGCACAGCCAAGCACGCACGCTCAGGCAAGGCAGCTGCCGCAGTCCTGCACCCCGCTTGTCCCACAGCTGCGCGTGCGGGATGCAGGCGGGCGGCTCACCTGCAGGCCGACCACGACCGCCAGCCCAGCGTACACGGCGCGCGGCATGAACCCCGCCACCCGGATCTGCGTCAGCACCGCAAAGCTGCTGGCGATGCCCAGCGCCTGCACGACTACCGCATTCTTCTCAAACTTGGATGCAAAGTAGGAGAGCAGCAGCGTGTTGCCGCCCAGGCCGGTCAGGTAGCTCTGCAGCCAGTTGTTTGCGGGGAGGGGCAAGGGGAGGGAGGGCAGCAGAGAGTGGGCATGCTGGGCTGCAGCCCGGGATGGGAGGGAAACTCTGGCTGCACAGGCAGGCATTGGAGCAGCTGCGGCTCTCTGGCGCTTTGCTGGCTGCCCGAGCGCACCAGCCAGGAGAGGACGGCCAGCGCGGCGGTGTTGCCTGACGCCAGATTGACGTAGTTCTTTGCCAGCTGGGGCAGGAAGAGGAAGAGGAAGGGGATGGTGGAGAAGCTGACCATGCGGTCTGTGAGGGCGCCCCACTGCTCCCCGGCGCTGCACACAGGCGGGCGGCAGGGTGCGGCACGGTCAAGGGGCCGCGTGGGTGACAACACCGAGGGCCTTGGTCAACGTCAGGGCATGGCATCACAGAGTGCAGGACAAAAGAAGTGTGCATGCGGTTGGGTGGCCCAGTGGAGCTGGCACTCACGGTGGGCCCGACGGACGCGAGGGACGCGCTTCTGGAGCCGCGAGGTCGCTAGCGCCGCCGGCACTGACCCCATCTCCCGCAGAGGCCGCCCTGGGTAGGAGCACCCGCCTCGATCCCGCATCCCTGGGCGCCAGAGCTGCGTTGCTGCGCTGCGGGGGCAGGCTGCGTTGCACCCAGCGTTTTTGTGCCCCCGCGCTGCATGAGGTCGCCTGGTGCAGCTCCTCGGCGCTGTCCACCAACCGCATCCCTCTACTGCCCAAAGCCGCCAGGCTCATGACAAACTGGCAGTCAGGAGAGGCGTTGCATCACAGCGGTGCAGGAGGCCCGAGGAAGCGTTTGTGAAGTCCGAACAGGATGTAACACACAATCCTGAGTACGGATGGAGTTGGCGCCAACCAACTACGGCCGAGTTGTGATTTGCCAGAATCGCCGATCTGGCAGGCGCCGGCGCGCGTCCGCTATCTGCACTGCTGGGCCAACCCCCTTTTGCTGAATTTTTTACGGGCATTGCATGGGTTTCAAGCATAGCAAGTCAAACTGGAAACCAAAGAAAAGGCATCGGACCGCAAGGGGGCTTGCCCGGGGGGGGGGGGGGGGGGGCAGCTCCAGTCAGGTCGATAACGAACGCCATCTAGAG